AATATAAATCAAACGTTTACAATTTGAAATGGACCAAATAGTATTTAAATAAAATCATTATAAATAGGCAATATATTTATCGAATTCAGTTCCAATGAAGAGTAATCTTTACACAAACTGCTTCAACTCCTGGAAGTCCACCAAAACTCGAGCGGAATGATCGCCTGTCCCATGGGGATGAGATTCTTGAGCAACCATCATCCAAGAAACATTAACCACTCAGAAGGAGACTTCAGGCAGTCTATCCCTGTAAACGTCATCTTCATGCCAGGCGCTGCTGCTAACAGAACCTTAATTTAGTATTTCTTCAATATGGCAATCTTAAAATTCTTTGCATACTCTGAATTCTTTCCACACTCATGCGCTGTCCCTCTCCAGGCCGGTGGAATTCATCAATGCCTATTCTCGACGCTTTTTGGAATTAAATCTCCAGCAAACGTGAGAGAATCTGACCACTTCAGCCATTAGAAGTGTACTTACTTCAGTACTGGGTCGGAATTTGGATTACAGAGGAATTCAAAACAGTAACAGACCGTTAGATCCATACTAGGCTATTTGTTTATGGAAAGCTTATGGTGGTACAAGCAATGTAAGGCGCAGATTTGAAGAGAAGTATTTATCTAATGATTTGTTAAATTATACACGGTATTACACACGAGAGTGGAACGATCCACAAAGTAGCCTCATAAGCCAAGAATGACCGCCGTCCTAGCACACAGCACCATGACTGACTCCATTAAAAAAAAGTATATAACAGCATCATAGAAACACATTCACTGTAAAGTCTGAATATATAGTTTGAACAAATACACGAGTGAGAATGGTTGGGTACAAACAGGAACACGTCCCCTAGTGTCCTGCAGCTTCCTATATTTTGTTGTTAAGGCCTCTGTGCACCTCCTCCCTTCCGTATGACTCCCTCGATGGGGCTCCAGCAGCCTGAGCGGTGAGTCCTGGAGTTGGGCTTAAAGCCTATCTACTTCTGGGTAATTATTAAGATCAAAACTAGAACTAATTAACAAATCTGCAATTTAACTTTCGTCCCAAATATATTACGGTACTATAGTAACTTTTTTCTCACGCAGGATTAGTATGTTGTTGTTGTTTAAGATTCGCTACTTGGAACAAAAAAGTTCCAAGTAGCACGGGCTATGGTGAGCCCGTGTAACATTATGTGTATTATGAGACAGTCACACTGTTGACGAGACACGAACACCATTAATTTGAAGAACGTCGAGTTTGTTATTAAATCTTGTTTACACATTTTTATGAACGTAAAACAATGACAAATGTAGCTATTTGAATATGTATGTTGTTTTATGCAGTAAATGTAATGAGTATTGTCTCTACAAACTATAAAAATATGACTGATTTGTTATTCAATTCAAATTTTTGACGCATACATAATCTCATTCACGCGCACTCAAACACACACATACACACACACAGGAGCAGGGGAACTACCTATCTATAACAACTAGAGAAAAAGACCTGGGAGTAGACATAACACAAAACCTAACTTCAGAGACTCATATAAATAGAATAAAGTTAGCTGCATACTCTACGCCAGAAAAAGGCAGAACATTCTTCAGGAACTTAGATAAGGAGGATTTTAGATCACTGTATACTGCCTATTTGAGATCAGTTTTAGAGTATGCCGTCCCATCATGGAGCCCCCATCACGAAGAATCTCGAAGGGCTCAGATGTGTCAAAGAAATGTTGAATGAACTAAAGTTCAAGTTCAAGTTCAAGTAAGTTTATTGAGACAAGAAAAAAAAATACATCTCAAAGGGATAGAGTAGCTTAGGCTACTTCTACCCCCATAGAACTAAAGTAGCAGGTTGTAGAGGCAAACGCCATTCATAGCTTTAAAAGCAGGTATGATAAGGAAATAGATCAGGAGTCAGTACATTAGACAACCGACGGCCAGAAAAGTGGGGCACAGAAGCTACAGCTCGATCCTGGAGTCACAAATAGGTGAGTACACAGACACACATTCTTGCATTAAAAAAATAGAAAGACTTGGCAGTAGAAAAATCTTAAAATCTAATCCCAGAAGCACACATATTAGCAGAATAACGTCACCGACTTATGCTAAGCTAGCTTACGGGCTCACTATAGCCCGTGCTACATGGAAATTTTGTTCCAAGTAGCTGGATCTAAAACAACAACATAACAAGTTGGCCAACTTCCGTGTAGCCTTCAGAAATTTTGACAGGGAAATCATTAGGATCCTTACTACAACCTACTTGAGACACACCCTCGAATATGCAGCCGAAGCATAGAACCTTTATATGAAAAATGCAAAAGATAAATAACATTCAGGGGTTTTAAAGATCATGTTCTGTAATAATGAAATACTTGTTCACTGAGAATTATAATGTAGTATTGCCTTGTAAAACTTATTTATATATGATTTATATTGTATTTTCTTAAATAAAGATAAAAAATAAAGATAAAACTGTAAAAGATCGTGACATGCAATAAGGCTCGTTCCCGAATGTTGACAAGACCACACACTAAAATGTGAAGGGACAATCGACTTGAGAATGGTCCAGGACGGACCGAAACGTCGTCGTCCCTTCACATTCTTGTGTGTGGTCTTGTCAACATACTTTAGCCACGTTATTGTGACTCATCGTCTGCATAGGAAAACTGAAAGGAATGTAGTTTACCACACTGGAGGAAAGGAGTGATAGGAAGAACATAATAACGACATACATTACTCGAGTGGAATTCATACATCGATCAAAGCTAAGAACAGTAGAATGAGTTGTCACAGAAATTACGAATGGGTCATAGAGAGGTGATATTTTTTAATTTCTGTATTTAAATTATTGGAGAGAAAAGAGTATGATTACTGCATCTTCCTGGACTGTCAGGAGACATTTTACAACATTCCACACAACAGACTTTTAAACAAATTTGAAAACAAAATTGGTATGCTGAAAAAATTCTGAACTGGGTAAGGACCTGCCTTTCGGAAACTGAGATATATCTAAGATAAGGAAAGCATTTTAAGCATTTTCATGTATCAGTGAAGGATAAAGATGCGGGAGTCGACCTAACCCCAAACCCGAAACAAGCCGACCATATTTCCTGAATAACGAGGCAATCTAGATGGCATTTAGGTACCTACACCAAAAATCCTTCAATATTTTTATTAAAAATATGTGAAACCCATCCCTGAGCATGTACTCCAGCGTGAAAAATTTCACCTAAGCGAACAGAAAACGAATCTAAAAAGTCATGTAAAAAGCCTAGTTTTGGTCTGAGCTGCAAAGAAAGATTGAGAGAACTGAACCACACCACAACAAAATAAGAAACAAGAGATACACGAAACAACGCATACGATTCTAAAGGGAGTTCGACAAGATGAGGGGTGGAAAAAAAACTTGTCACGTAGATGTCTAGATGAATTTAAGCCTATAAGCATCAAACAAATGAACCAGCCAAATGAAGATAATGGAGGAAAACTCAGTATACATGTTTAACAGTAGATATGATAAGCACAAGAGTCGAGTCGCCGTATAAAACCCACCAATAATTTTGTATAGTTGGGGGCTCTGCAGCTAGAACTCGTCCATGCCAGTAACTTAGTGTAATACATTTATCCTATCCATTGTCCGTTGATAATTTATGGTTACCATAAAAACAATCCTCCAGTGTATTATGCAAAATTTAACAAAGAGCTTCCTGCCAGTAGCCTATTATATACAGTACTCCCATACAAATCCTTCCACCCCTCACTACGCGGAAGCTGGAACACGTTTATTTCAACCCAGCCTCATAAAATTATAGCACTTACAGCTAATATGGATGAAATGTATAAAATGTGGACTGTTACAACCAAAATAGGTATATGTGTTGTCTACTGGAATTCGAAATTGCATAACTAAAATTTACATAGCCTAGCCATGAACGTAATGTAAACTGTACCATTAACCAAGAAGCGGGGAAATATATCCCTGTGCTATAGTAGCTATAGATTTGATCACGCATGGAGGAAACGATGGCTTGGATAATGTTTATATGGTGATATTATGTATTTGACAATTATATCTTGAGGTTATCTTGAGATGATTTCGGGGCTTAGCTTCCCAGCGGCCCGGTCCTCGACCAGGCCTCCTTTTTGCTACACAGCCCCAGGAAGCAGCCCGTAGCAGCAGTCTAACTCACAGGTATCTATTTACTGCTAGGTGAACCGGGGATCGGGGTGAAAGAAACTCAGCCAATTTGTTTCCGCCTCCACCGGGGATCGAACCCGGAACCTCCGGACTACGTATCCGAAGCGCTGTCCACTCAGCTGTCAGGCCCCCATACTATCTTTTAATTTTAAAAAATTCAGTATTTGATATTTTTTGTTTCTTGTTTGCAAATTTTTTATTGTAAACAAATCGATTAAAAAGGAAGAAACGATAATACTCGCTTGAATTAGAATATCAACTAAGAACAAATTATCAACTCTAGTAAAGTGCTTCAATATATTCATCAAAGATACTATCGACAAAGTAGGCTTGGGTCATTTGACAGCCTCTGCGGCACACAAGTCTTGGATAATAACTCCAGGGGAACAGAACCTGGCCGAAGTATCATTGAGAACATCCGCCAGGTGCCTGACCTAACAGGGGCCAGATTCACGAAGCAGTTACGCAAGTACTTACGAACGTGTATATCTTTCCTCAATTTTTGACGGCTTTGTTTACAATTATTAAACAGTTAATGAGCTCCGAAGCACCAGGAGGCTGTTTATAACAATAACAACAGTTGATTGGGAAGCTTTCATGCTTGTAAACTGTTTAATAAATGTAAGCAAAGCCGTCAAAGATTGAGGAAAGATGTACACGTTCGTAAGTACTTGCGTAAGTGCTTTCGTGAATCTAGCCCCGGCAGTGGGAGAGGTTAAGGTGAGCATTGTACCGAGAGGAGCCGTGAAGGGGACAGTGGCTGGACCAATGTGGACAAGTTCCCCCATGAGATGGGGTATATTTTAGCGTGAGGCGAGGACTGATGACGCAGTGTTAGACGGGCCGGGAGGGAAGAAAGACGTCTGTGCCAGGTGCTCCGAACAGTGGTGGTGCAGCAGTAGCAGTTAACAGTCATGCGCTGGTTCTTGGTGGTGAGTGTTGTCGCTGTGACCGGGGCCAGGCGCCTGCACGCACCCACCGCTCCACACACACACACATATACTCTCCCGTCAAACGCACGCACACGCAATACTTTGGTCGTGGTGACGTGTGGGTGCGAGTGCTCCCTGGTGTTCGTGTCGTTATTTATAAGAGCATGTTTAATTGTTAGTACACTGCCCGCCTCTTTTTTTTCGGAAGGTTACCTGAGGAAATTGTGTATTTAAGCCGCTGAAAGTCTTGACGACTGTTCATTACGGGCTCACCATAGCCTGTGCTACATGGACACTTCGTTCTGAGTAGCTAAATCTATAACAACAACAACTTGACGACTGTCAGCGCCCATACAGGCAGACTAACTGACACCAAGGAAGCTCAAACACTGATCCTTCGTCAGGTGAGCTGTACAATACAAAAAAATAATAATAACGATGCACAGGAACGTTTCCTCATCAATTGCGAGCGGGGTTAGTGATGTAAACCAGTTTGTAAATTATACTTATTGTATAAATTAGCGAAGTGTTTTATGTATGGTATAACCTATCAAGAATTATAAACCTTCCACTATCCATGGCCAAGGCTGTCTGTCTACGCTGTCACCAACCAGGTTCTGGCTTGATATTACGGCATATAACTGGAATTATCGAAAAAATATTATATAAACAAACTATATATATATATATATATATATATATATATATATATATATATATATTATATTATATTATATTATATTATATATATATATATATATATATATATATATATATATATATATATATATATATATATATATATATATATATATATATATATGACAGTGTCAGACCACGGAGGAAAATTGAAACAGGAATTTCCTTAAGTACTTTCGTATATTAATACATCTTCAGAAGGAGTTAATCACATGTTTGTGTTTATTTTTCATGATTTACACACACAATATATATATATATATATATATATATATATATATATATATATATATATATATATATATAATATATAGTTCGGTCTGACCTATAATTGCTCATAAATTCTTCAGTATAACAAAAACATAATAAGCCATAGTCAAAATCCACAGTTGTAAAATTGATTGGAGGCGATGTATCTAACAAACTGTACATGTTTGGGAACCTGTTATGTTGCTCAGAGGAAACTTTCTTCGCCCTTCACCTATACTGAATATTACTTTTGTTCTTAAGGCTTTCCTTTGTTTGAGGGAACGATGACCTGAGATGCCTCTTGGTGTGCTGAGTCAGGCTAGCTCGTCCGCCTTGGACTCTGGTCTGCCTTTCAAATTCCTATACGAGGAAGTTCTTGATCCATACAGTGTGCATCTTGCTTTCTTGTTTTTATTTTGTTTTATTGACTTGGAATTTATTGTGTATCTTCTTTTTCTGAACTTTTCATTTTTCTTGGACTTATTTATATTTTCTTGCACGACTTCTGTATCTCCTTCAACTGATTAATATTATACAAATATAATTATATTTGTCTTATACATGGAATGGTGTGTATTTTGTTTGTTTATAAGCTAGATCGTGTGAGGTATGTTTGTGTTAGAAGCGGGGTAGTGTGTATTTTGAGTTAGAATCTGGTGTGGTGTTAATTTTACAAGAGAAGCTTCGGGGTATGTATTTTGCTAGAGTTAGATGCCGGGTTGTATATATTTTGCCAAGCAGGACGGTGTATATTATGCTAGAGTTAGATGCGGATTGTGTATATTGTCCTTGAGTTTGAAGTAGGGCGGTGTATATTTTGCTAGTTAGAAGCTTTGTGATGTGTATATATTTTCAAGATCTTATATAAAAGATTGTATGAACAAGAGATGAATAATCAGCAATGGATGTGAAGGCGACGACACTTGGAATTAACGCGTGCTTGTCAAGCTCATCATCGACCCTACAGAAAGTTGAATTGATTGATATCTATTGCTCGACCTCTATGCGTGTAGGCTAGACGGTGTTGCTCTTGAACATTCGACTGCATGTGTGAAAGATCGACTCTAAATTTAACTCGATGGGGTCGACTCTGTACGTTAGCCCTGCTCGATAAAAAATACTCCAGTGTTTAACGCTTGTATTTTTCCTGAAAATCAACCTACTGCTTTATGGGCTAAGCCTTCTATTCGACCGGCTATAACCTGAGACTCTTCCTTTGGTGTGATATCTAACTTTCCGTCTGACGAGAACATTAACATCTTGTGTGATCAAGGATATCCAACAACCGGGATGGCCAGTCCTGTCGCGTTTCCCTCTCTGAACGGCATATCTTTCATCCTTGAAGTCTCTTTTTGTTGCTAATACTTCTCTTATTATTATTGCTGTTATTATTATATTACTGTTGCAATATGGCCTTTTCTTATTAGCAAAGCATTTTATCCTTGGTACTGAGATTTGGCTAACTAACCTCGCACAGAGCTTGGTTTACAGACTCCAGCTTGGTTTAGGTCTTTGGTCGCTGTTAGAACATTTTTTTTTGTGGAGCGAGCTTGCCTAATTGACACTCAGACCTAGGTTTATTGGCCATTCAGAGAACCTAACTTATTGCCATGTTAGAGAGCTTGATTTGTCAACTATTCAGATAGCTTGGCTTACTGAATAACCAGAAATCATAAACCATTGTTTATGATTTCGTAATTCAAACATCGAGTCTCTGACGACCTGTCTTTGCTTGGGTGTTTCAATTCCGTAGATTTTATGTACAAAAGTGAGAGTGAAAATTCACTCAAAAAGTAATACTAGAGGACAAATATGGAAGTTGGAAACGAAAATGAATCGAAGAAATGTAAGGAAATACTCGTACCCTGTACAGGAGGTCAAATGGAATGTAATGAAAGACGAAGTTATAGTCACCTCCATTTACAGCAGGCCACCAACCAGTAGCCTCCTGCCCCTCCCTTCCCAGTAGCCTCCTGCCCCTCCCTTCCCAGTAGCCTCCTGCCCCTTCCCTACCCATAAGGCTCCTGCGCCGCCCCCTGTGAGCCAGTAGCCTCCTGCACCGCCCCCTGTGAGCCAGTAGCCTCCTGCACCGCCCCCAGCAGAGTCTTAAGACGAGCAAATTTCCACCGCTCTAACATCGCTACTAACATCATGTGAACCTAATCTAACCTAACGTATCCTATCCTAACCAAAGTAAGATATAAAATGTGCTTTATGTACGTATATGGTGTGTGACGTCACTATGGCGCCATAATATTCTCCCGGCTCACGGGGTAGGTTCTACTGCCCCAGCCAGCCACCAGTGGCCGCGTCCTGCAGCGCCACCAGCCCAAGAGTCAACCGGGTTGAGGGTCACATTAAAATAGGAAGCTGGGAGTTACGCATGTTAAAAGATGCCATAAATCATTCTTGGCAGGTAAAATGAGGTTTGATAAGATCGTCAATTAGGACAGTCCTTTGGAGGCAGGAAATATTTGGTTGGTATAATATTCTTCAACTAACGGCCATACACACCAGTTAATAGTTACCGCAGTTTTCAATTACAGCCCCGCTCCTGTGCCAGGTAAGTCCACTACGGGCTCACCATAGCCCGTGCTACTTTGAACTTTTTGTTCTCCAGTAGCTGAATCTTAAACAACAGTTACTGCAGTACTTTAGTTAATTATTGTTACTGTGAGATGTTTTAGTTCATATACTTGAGAGCTCACAGTAGCAGGCCATACTCAGCCCCTAGTTGAGGTTGGAGGTGTACTGCGCAGTATTAAATATACGATCATCAGTGTTAGCGAGTCTGTCAGACCAGGACACCGCTGGCCCTCTGCTGAGAGATGAATTGCTTTAGTAATTATGAAAATAAATTAGTGAACATGAAACATGAAAATTATTACAAAATTTAATAAGGTCTGTATTTTCTTCGTAAATGCCGCCATAATCAGTATTGATAGAGCGATGAAAATTAAGTAAGTGTTGATTGGTTGGGATTAAGGGGGTGTAGACGGATAGATAGTATTAGGTGAGAGGAAGATGTGCTTTGGTAGGAAGGGAGGGAGGGGGGAAATGATGCAAGGAGGGATTGGGATGGATAGTTATGGGAAAGGGAGGAGATTCCTCAATGTTACTTCTGCTCGGTTATATCTCGGAGTGTGTACCATCTGGGGAAATAAACATCAGCAAGAAACTCCGTCACCAAAATGATTATTATTAGTATTATTATTGCACAGGTGGGGGTACAAGAACGGATAACTTCTGACTTGTTAGCAGGCTAAAAGATTTTCATTCAAACGGCTCACTCTTCTAGTGTTCTTGGGCCGACATCGCACGACTATTTCTTTGTTAACCATTTGATTTTATAAGGCAGCTAGTGAATATGCAGTTAGGTTTCAAAGACAGAGTTCCTTCTGTTACGGCGTCATGGCTGTCGAGATGTGAAGCAGCTGGGGGTTGGGCGGAGGCTGAAGGAACCAGCACAAGTTGGAAGTGATTTAATAAACACGCTTAGTAGGAACACTGACGGAAGGGGAGAGGGAGGAGGGGGAGGCAGCGAAGGAGGAAATGGAGGATGAAAGAGATTGAGAAGATATAAGAAGAACGAAATAGATAGCGAGGAGAGGACGGAGGTCAGGAATTTAGAACTCAATAGCTAAGGTTATTTTTAGCTCAAGTTGTACCGGTGGTGTGGAATGCGCAGTGACGGTGTTGTTGAGTCCTGAGCATCGTCGCCACCCAGGCCGCCACAACTGGCCGGACAAAAACGTCCCTCCTGGATAGAACATGACGTTTTATCGTCACACTGGATTTCTACTTTAGTATAGAATGAAAAACATCTCTAACATAGCCCAAGAGCACTTATAAAACCCCTGAACTTCTAAAAACAACCTCCATAACTCATAAGAAAGCAGAGATGAGTGACCCAAAGCCGTAGTTTATCCTTGTTAAGTACAATAAGCGAGTACCTCGCGACGAACGTCACCACGATCTATCATTCACCCTGCTGTAATTACGCTGCCGGGACTCCCATCCTGCGCTCGCTGGCCCCTGGTCCATGCTTTTGT